ATATATATATATATATATATATATATATATATATATATATATATATATATATGTATATATGAAATATATTCTTAAATAAATGTAATATAAAAGAAATATTATAATAAGTTCTTATAACATCACAACTCAAATATTAAAAACCAATAAGAACCAACGTGAGAATTTGTGTACAAGATAACAAAAATTTCCAATTTCAGTTATGAAACATGAACAGTTCTAAAGTGATGAATTTGTTACAAATGCTGTAAATAAAATATGAAATTTTTGAGTAAATTATTCTTGGATTGGCTTTTAATCAATAATTCTGATTAAATATATGTTCTCTTACATAAATTGGAGCATTTAAACAATGTTGCTCCTGAGCCAATTGCACCAGCATACCAAATGATGTACACAGTTGAGAAGTATATAGAGCTAGTTTCTCTGACAAAGTGGTGGATGCTAAACTTCTCCTGTATTTTTGTAATGGTTCAAGTATCTCCAGTATTGAAGAACCAAGTTCCTATAAAAAAAATTATATTTAGACTGGAAAACAAAGCTTAAGATTTTGATTCTACTTCATCTTATATTTCACCTTGATATTTTGAAAATCTTCTATCTGATTTGCTGTACTCATTTCTTTAACATAGTCCAAACAATCCTGAAGTCTTTGCTTCAGTGGCAAACATTCTAAATCCTCAAGAGCTCTCAAAGCTAACGCAAATTTATTAAGCAATGATTCAGTTGTATTATTAGTATTATGTTCAAGTTTACAATCATCGATTTGTTTGATCTAAAAAAAGAAAAGAATTGAGGAGAAAGTTTACTTCAAATAAAATATTATATATAAATATGATATTGTGACTTTCTCATTACATACAAGTTCTTCAATATCTTTCAACAGAGAAATATGTTTTGTGGTCACTGTTGTATCAGCAAAATTTACATTGACTTCTTCATATTCACAATTATCATCACTCGTCAAATTTTTGAACCTCTGAGTTAAAGACTGTAGTTGTCCAGAAAACATTGATTTTGCAATTAAAACTTCTGATGGATTAATTGAGACATTAATTAATAATAACCGTAGTCTATTTATCTGAAACAAAAATAACGACAAAATATTTATTCCTATTTAATTACAAATAATTATTGTTATAATTTTTACATTATATTTTGCAATGTGTAGAATATAACATAATGCTGTTATATATTTTTTACCTGAAATTTATCCTGACAAGAATATTATAATTATCAAATTAGTTAAGAGGAGCAAGTTTGATTACCTGCTGTTGCAAAGATTCCGATATCTTCCTCATTTGCTTAGTCTTCAGCTCCATGTTATTTTATAATTCTATAACTTCTTCGCGTGAAACTTCAAAATTCATACGTTTCAACGGTAAATATAAACAAAGCAAACTTAGTAACTAACCAGACATGGCAACCAACATCCGGCGCTAGTGATGGGAACGCAGCTCCATGGGAATAGTCTACGAGGATCTGCTCCACGATCTTTTACATTTTCGGAATTTGTTCAAGCTATAACCGCGTTGGAAGGTGCCAAAATCATTTAAAATCTTTCAAGTCTATTTCGATTAAAAATACACAGTATAATTTTCTCTTAATTATTTTTATTCATAGCGAATAGTATCATGCAACTTGTGTGTTGATTTCGATAGTCGTCCATTTCTTTTTGGCGGCTGACATTTCAAAATAAATGCTTTTAGGTTATACTCGGGGTTACGACTCGCGAAGAAATGTTTTCCAGGAACAAAAAGATCGAGACGAAAATCGACGTGTTGTTGGACGAACCGTTGACCAGTGAATCGTACACAAAAGTAGTGATCGAACTCCTGAAGTACGTTCTGTACCAAAAGCAGCAAATACCGTTCGCGTACGAGGCACTGGTTCAGTTCCAGACGAGCATAAGGACGACAGATAGAAACGCGGTGGCCATCAAGACTTTAACGAATACATTAAAGAGTGTCTCAGATAATTTGTTCTCGCAATTTTTTCTCGAGGACTGCGACGTGAGGGAAGTTGCCATATTAGTTGGTGCTACAGTATCGTCACCAAAATTATGCATCAGGATAGAGCTTCCCTCGTATATTCTCAACAGCAAACAGCACAAAGAGTGTCAGCATTCTTCGCGAAAACCCCTTATAAAACTCATGAGGTTAATAATAAGGATATATACAATTGAATATTATAGTATTATATTCATATAAAATTTATATCTAATTTATATCTGTGAAATTTTTCATTTGTAGATCTATGCTGGAGTGTGACGAGTTTCAGGAGGCTATGAGTATACCTTCAAGTGTAACAAACACCTTTATTATGCTGAAGAAAAGAGACAATAACCCAGTATCAGACTTCTTTATACCTAAACCACAATATATATTGCCTACACAAAGCACAAGTTGTTTCAACATTAGACTGTGTCAGAATGATCAAGTGGACACACAGTGTACTTGCAGAACTCTTGTTAAAGTATATCATGACTCATGCAAGATTCATGCAGCAGAAGACAACCATGAAGATAACATGCAGTATATTCAACGCGATACTTCCACTCAATGCTCATATCGATGGTATCAATCCAAGCAAATCATAAAGGGATTTAAATATCATTCGTGACCAGACATATAAGTATACCATATAACAATTGTAGTTGAAATTTCATATTGTTGCTTAGGACACAAGTAGACAATTTTTCTACTTTAGAACAATAACTGGATCAATGTCAAATTTATTTTATAATCGTATAATCAGATAGTATTAGATATTTTAACATATTTAATTGTGCACTTGTTATTGTACACAATGACGTATCAGAGTGACAAACACGATCTGGTCACTATAAAATGCTACGAGGTCGTGTGATAGAAATTTCCATTTATTATCAAGAAACCGACGTAGTTTGTATTTTTTTTTACTCGCACATGTAAACATAATGTATGTGATAAGTCTTATGAGCGATACAACTATTATGTATCGGCTTATATAATCAGTATCGCAATGCAATTATGAAATCATAGAATATTTTATTGATGTCTGATTAATATTACCCCTTGTCCACAACTTTGCTTTAATCTTTAAGCCATAAGATATTGATCAACCACAGTTGATTATTTTTAAAATAATCGATTGTGGTTGGTCAATTTCTTACAGCTTAATGATTAAAGCAAGGTTGTGGACAAGAGGTTAGTTACTCATACAAAATTTTTTAGAAAAAATATTGCCAATTTTTATATAAGCAGAATTTTGTAAAAATGTGACATTTTTTAAATTGAATACACAATTATAATTGTTAAACGTTTTTATTATATTGAATTGTACTTAATCATTATACCACCGATATGTGTTATCTAGTTATATAGTTTATTAAAAACGCAAGAAACATGCGATCATTCAAACGAATATGATAAGCGCGTGGTAGTTCGCATATTATTATCATCATGCAGATAATCCCTACCAGAGGAAGAATACGATATTCTTGGAGAGGGGTATTACATATTTTAACAACATGCGAAGATACTGACAGCAAAAAAAGATTATATCGAATCTTGTATGTACACGCGAAGAAAGTCTTCCAATATTGTACTGAAATGGCTGCTTTGAAATTCTTAACATCGGAGCAGAAGCAATTCTGGGAAGAGAATGGTTATATTAAATTAACGAATGTGTATTCTTCGAAGGAAATAAACGAGATATCAGACGCTTATAATGATTTGTTCGAGAGAAAGCGTCGCGAAAATCTGGCGGGCTTGGAATCAGCTTGGGTCGGCGAAGAGATGAAGAAAGCAGCTGGATATATCGATTACACTGTAAGTGAAAATTATTTATTTCGCAAACTAAGTGCATGCATGCATGTGTATTAATTAATAACCTATGTGATCAAGTAACAATTTAGTGATTGAAAAAGAAAACTTATAGTTAAGCTTGAAGAATATTTAGATTTTGAGACGTTTTACGCTTTGATTCCCAAAGTATCTCCTTAAACAATATCTTTGAAATATCTTATATCATATGATATCTTTGAAAATAAGAATATTTTTATTTATCTCTATATTATTTAATAGAGCGATCTTAAAGCTATCTATTGATATATATAGTTTATTTACAGTCTGTTTAATAAGAGTATGATCGACATCATTTTTAAACTATTATAAAAAAATGTAAAAAGTTACATATGTATTCAATCAGCATTATAATTTATACGCTTTTATATTAATAAATTGTCTACACACAATCACCGGCGTTGTCAATTATTGCTTGACATTTTCGAGGCATATTTTTTATTAATTTTACAACATACTTTCAAGATAAAGATTACCATATCGAACAAATCTGTTGAGATAGTTGTTTCACCGTGTATACTTTTTTCCACGTAGCTTCATCTTCATACGTAAACATTTTCTTTGATCTAAACATTTCTCATAGTATCCATATAATATTCCATTTGTATCTGGTGACTGTGATAGTCAGTTTAATGTTTCGATGTTATTTTCTTCTTCCCATTGGCAGCAAAGACGATTTCGATGTTTTGGATCGTTGTTCTCTTGAAAAATCTAACCTTGACTTTTGTTTCGAAACTATTTTTCAGCAGATAATATTAATGCTTTCTGATAAATTTTAATCATTTTTTGACATCCAAATTCTCTATAAATAGAGATAAAGTTCCAATTAGTTTGAAAAGCAGTTCTAGATATGCACTTTGGCCGGATGTTTCACGGTCCCCTGGAGAAATTTGCTTATAGGAGGTAGATCAAATCCGACTGATAGTATTTCGTGACCAAAAAAAAGAGTATTCATAAAAAAATACAAAAAAACTCTTCCAATCGCGAGTAATATTTTCATGCACCTAAGTGATTCTTTCTATGACATGTTTTTTGAGAGAATCGGTTTCTTCATTCGATTTGAGCCTAGAAGCTTGTGAGTTCGAATACTCTCAAGTGATAAAATAATATCATTTCTTTTTTTAATTTGACTTGTCCCTGACGCAGCGATATAATAAAGGATTTGTAGAAAATAATTATATAATCTGTTTATTCTTTTTTTTCAATGTTTTCCATGTCTTACTGCGATCTGACAGATAATCAAGAGTGTTTATTGTTTCATATCGCTTTATCCACTTGTTTACAAATGCTTTTGACTTTTTTATATATTTTGTAGCCGCTTCCCGCGATATTTTCGATATTTTCAAATGTGTAAAAAAAACTTTGAATCTTTTGGCACATACAGCACTTATCATTAAACACATTGTTCTTTTACGAAGATCGGATGATTGAGAGCCTTTGTAAGAGAAAATTCACACTTTAACAAAAAAGTAGAAAACAGAAAAACAAAAGAAAGTCAATCAAAACTTACGCTAATAGAAACTATAGTTCGTCACAGAAAAGAAAAGCTCTTCTAGCTGCTCGTTCAAAAATTTTCGATATAACGGTTTTCGATTCAACAGTTTCAAGAAGTTTGCCCATTTTTATTAAACAGGCTGTATCTTGGGGGAAAAAAAACCGAACTTTCATTTCAAAATTTTTTCAATTTCCAAATTTTTTATAATAAAACCTTAATTCTTTCTAAAGTTACTTTTCAAATCAAACTTTTAAAACATATCATACTATTCGATATCTCTTTTAAAACAAAATATTAAATTTAATCGTGAATTCATTAAATTTATTAAAATAAAATTTTAAATATTTAAAATTATTTTAATTTCTTAATATGATTTTTTTATATATTCATGTTATATTTATATTATATTTATTTATTTATTATATTTAAACGATTGAAGATGGAAATTAAATCAAAGTAAAATATATTAAATTTATTAAAATAACACTGTTAAAAAATAGCACAAACTAAACAATCTAAATTTTTTTTTACTTTTTGTTTTAATATAAATATATTAAATTATTATATTATTATATTATTATAAACTAGGGAAATGCATTACGCATACCTGCAGCCCTCGGGGGAGGGACGGGAGAGCCGCGGGTTATGTGGGACTCTCCTCTGCAGTAGCGCGGAGGCCTACTCATTGAAACCCTGGCAGGTTCGCCCTCAGTGCTCTAGTAGGAGACGCCCCGGGAACCGCTCTTGCATTACTTCCGGGGCAAAACGATCTAAGCTCAAAGCTCTAAGCTTAAAAAATATTTCAGAGTCCTATTATAATTGAGACCGACACAGAAATAGACACAGCAAGCTTTTTTCTCAAGGATACACAGATTATACATTTTCTTTATTATTATCTTATCTTTATTTCCTAGGTGAAGTCTATTCACAATCTGCAAATGCATAGCGCGGTCTTCACTCGAACTATCACGCATCCAAATCTATTGGACGCCCTTGAAGATATCATGGACACACCGGACATCCTGTTGCATCACACGAAAGCGCACGTAAAACCGCCGGAGAAAGGCGCGCCTTACCTGATGCATCAGGACTACCACTATTTTCCTCACAAGAAACACACGATGCTGGCGGTGTTTCTACACTTGGACGACACGACGCCGGAGAATGGCGGTTTAGCGGTGTATCCTGGCAGCCACAAGCTCGGCCCATTAACAGACCATGGCTTGACCGATGAGAAAGGCGATCAATATCATTACGTCAACCCCGAGGAATATCCTTTATCGAAAGCTATACCGGTGTCGGCCAAGAAAGGAGATATCATTGTCTTCTCTTACTTATTGCTTCACGGCTCGTACTTAAATTTGTCGTCCAAGAGCCGACGTATGTTCCTGATGCAAGTACGAGCCGCCGACGACGAGCCGACCAAGGACGTGCACAAGTCTCATTGCCAAGGCCTGGTGCTTCGCGGGAGAAACGTTTACAGAGAGGCGACGATGGCCAGCCGATTTTCGCATTAATCGGATCACGGTAAACCATGATCCGCTAAGTGCGAATATTTGCTCTACCTATTTCAACCTGGTTATAAGGAAAGCGCGAGAAAAATCAAGAGAGTGAATCTAAACAAGTTTCTTCGTTTATGAATGAGACTGAACGCAGCGCGATGATATTTTGTTCTTGATATTTGAAGCTTCACATTGAGTGCAGAGAAATGCTTGATCTGAGGTTTGTTCTTTCGCTCTGCACTGCTGCACTGGTGCAACAAGTTAGAGTGAGACAAATATATATTTGTTTCACTCTAACTTATTGCACCAGCGCAGCAGTGCAGAGCGAAAGAACAAACCTCTGGTTTCCGGATTGAGTTGCAGGTTGTTTTTTCCTGAAGAACCTAGTAAATACTAACTATCAATAACATAACATCAACCTCTTATTATTTTCCATTAAACAATGTAAATACAAAATAAGGCGTGTGTTACATAATCGTTGAGTAGGAAATTATAATATTGATATAATGTTGCTGTTAATTAATGTTTACTAGAAAGTAGATTAAAATATTCAGGAAAATCTACAAAGGACACTGCACCAATCCGGAGTTCAAATCGAGGATTTTTATTCCGTGCGTTCCCTGCAGTTATTCTTCTCTCTCTTTTCCAGCTTTATTCTGACTCTGCATGGGAGACATGAATCGTTACGTTTCGTAGAATCTCGAAAATACGAACTTTCAGGAGTCTGAAATCGTTGACTGTTATAAATCGTACGAATAGTATCACGAATCCCATTGTTCAGTTCCAGATCATTAACCACGACATAATCTTGAAACAGCACGAAAAGTCAATGAACGTGTATCTGACGAACCGTCTCACCATGCACTCTTACTACCAACGCGTGAAAGATTTTGCATACGTCGTGTTTATTGAGAATATAAAGGCTTACTTAATATTGCAAGATGACGCATTCTCTTCAGAAGAATCTTAGCAAACATAACATTATATGTAACATATATGTTAGTTATAATTTCCTATTCAACAATGTAACTGTTGTTATATAACATACGTGTTATATAACAATTACATTGTTGAGTAGGAAATTAAAACTAATATGTACATTACATATAACGTTGTATTCGCTGGGATTCATGTAATTAAAAATCCGCAGAACGTGATTTACGAAACGAAACAGGCATACTTGCTTTGCAACTCAGGCATATGTCTCTTCGATATCTTCATGAAAAGCAACATCAAATCTACACTAAACTTTGTGTATCCTTTTTTCATATCATTCATTGCGTACAATATTATTGTTGACAGACAAAAATTAAAGAGCAATGCAGGAACCATGATTCTCATAGAGTTGTGAAGCTATATAAATATCAATCTCTATTTCTCTTTAATTGTGCTATATGGAAAAGTCTTCTCATGAATACACGAATTCGATATTGTACTTTGTTATTATTACTTGCATCCTGATATCATAGCCATCCCTCCCGCACATGAAGAACAGCATCAACTGCACAGCACCGAACATGTAAGACAAAAAGCACGCGGTAAAGTAAAATTCGCAGTGATTTTCGTAGACATAGTTAACAAAGTTAAAACGAGACACATATATGTTTTCTCACTTTAACTTATTGCACTAGTGCAGTAGTGCAGCGCAAAAGAACAGGCCTATAGTAAGAATAGACTGAGCATAAGGCGTGAAACCTGAAGATTAGGTAAAGAGAAACGGAAGGTGGGCCGTGTATCTTTCTCTCTCATTCTTTCCTAGTTAGAAAGGGAAAGCTACATGGCACTTGCTATCTGTCCTTTTCTACCTGATCTTTACTACCAAATAGAGGACACACTCAATCTATTTTTACTGTCTATGGGGAGGAAGATAGCAAGGGATTGTGCTGAAATGCGGGGAGCGATTGTGAAACTAAGAGGTATATTCTATAACTTTTAACGACATTGTTATGTATCATTGCGCAGATTTTTTGTATTATGAAATAACTGCGCAGTGATACATAACGACATCATTAAACGTTATAGAATAGATCTCTAAGTTTCATTTCTTACGATAGGACGCATGTTCAGTACCGTGTGATGCAACGACTTAGCGATCACTGGCAAATAGTAAATGTAACAAAATAATAAGTATTCTATTGTAAAGAAATTAATAATAAAAATACAATAATAATAATAAAGAGAAATTAATAATAAAAAAGAGATATTATGTAATATTTTATACATATTTGTATATAGTAAATGCAGCATATATATGTATTTGCAAGTTAAAATAATCTAGCCTTTTTGTCTTAATTAGCTAATACGTAATGCTCCTTGGAAACGTTATTTACGCCCGCTACGTTTTCGCACCTTACAATATTAATTTGCAAAGGTTACGCACATGTCTTTTTCTCACAGTTTCTCTTACATAAAACTTTATACGTATCTACGTGTATATCAATACACAGTAACAGCCAATCAGACTTAGACACTTTACCTCGTCGCACTGTCCCGCAGTGACTATTCCGCAACATTATGCTCTGTCCCTATATTCCTATGTCTATGCATTTACGGAGAGAGTGAAAAAAGAGTAGCATTGACGTATCATGCAACATTCGTTATTCAATATAAACGTCAAACATTATATCGATGTTATAATTTCGCATCCAACTCTCAGGAGAGAAAAAGAGAGAGAGAAAGAGAGAGAAGTGGCAACTTCTAAATGGCATTTTAAAAATGTTCAAGAACGCCTAAAAGACGTCTGAAAATGTGGGATGTCTTTTGGGTGTCTTTAAGACACCTGTTAGAAGGTTATATTACTGAAAAATTGAAATTGGAGAGTAAATAAAGTGTAAACAAAGTAACGGAAGCGGATACGCTTGTTTTATGTTTCGATATTTCAATTTACGCTTTGTAAGCGCTTCACTTACACTTCCGTCACTCTTCGTTTACACTTTATTTACTCTTCAATTTCAATTTTCGCCAGGGTTAAACTACTCCTGGGTACTCGCATCATCCATCTTTTTTAATAACGTCAGAAGCAAGAAAACGCATGCTAAAAATTCTTGCGAAATACATCGAGATAAAAAATATATCCACAAAATGACATTTGCGATCGATTAAGCACTAAAATATTTCGTACACTTTTTTTTTGTTCTAACACTCAGTAAATAATCATAAAACTAATATGACAAAACTTTTCTTTGTTCTAACACTCAATAAATAATCATAAAACTAATATGACAAAAAAATTTTTTTTTATTTAACTTTTAGAATTCTAATGTAAATTCATGAAGGTTGTTTCCTAAATAACGTTAACATTCACAAGATTCTTAGTGACGCTTTCACCTTGAGAGCTAAATCTATTAATCTGCTATATAATGAAATAAAAATTTTATGCTATTTATTTTAATATAATTTGCAATATTCTACGCAATGTGTTTATATACGTGAAAAAAGACTATGTATACATCGCATATGTAAATAGACGCGTATAGATGTAATCTCTTAAAATCTACGGCATAACCCTGATTTAAATTTCATATTCTTACCAACTTAACTTTTTTTAGCGCGTGAATCGAAAGTTTTCACTAGTTCGTGGGTGATTCAAGATTAAAATCGATTAGAGTCGAAAATGACTCTAGTGTGTCAGATTAAAGCGCCTAAAATATGTATACTGTGTGAGAGTTAATGTTGATGAATTATTTTAACTTATATAAAAGAAGTTAATACGTTAAAGTTAACGCATTTTGAAATAAATAATTTAGGTAAAAGTTGATTCATTTAAAATTAATTAAGTATAAAAAATTAATAATTTGTTAACTTAACTTTTACTTGGTTAAGGTCTCCTGGATACTCGTATCGTCTATGTCTTCTTAATAACGTCAGAATTTAGGAAGCGCGTGTTAAAAATTCTTGCGACATACGTTAAGATAAAACGATATATTCACAAAATGACACAATCAATTAAACACACCTCTAAAATATTCCGAACACTTTTCCTTTGCTTTAACAATCAATAAATAACCATAAAATTAACGTGACATGTAATTTTCTTGTTTAACCTAATTTTGAGAATAACCCTAGGACATCTCTTGGAGATCTTGCGCTTTGTGACTATTGCTTTGTATAATTAACTTTTAATTCTAACAAGTTAATTCAATTTGAATTTTGTTTTTGTTAAAACTGTCACTCTCTCTCTCTCTCTCTCTCTCTCTCTCTCTCTCTCTCTCTCTCTCTCTCTCTCTCTCTTTCTACCTT